TCAAATGAGGGCCTCAAGGGCCTATTTATAGGAGGGCATTTAGGCGGGAAATGGGCCAACTTGCCTGACACGACCCGCGCTGAATCCGAGGCGACGGATGGGATCGCCGAGGCCGGCAGGGGCCGACACGTGGCGTAGAAGGGAATGACAGCTGGCAGGTCGGCTTGGTGGCTGACGGTTGGGCTTCTTCATCCCGTCCCGTTTTTTCCCGACTGATCAAAAAGGCCCGGGCTGGGGGGCTCTTGGTAGGGAATATCCCGACCGACATAGCTTCACCACGACCGAGGAGCCCTCTGTCCTTGTCTCTCTGTCTTTGCAGGTAACAGGTCGGGCTCTTTGAGAAGAACCCGGTCGGGAACCGACCGGGAGTTGCCCGAGCGATGGTGTCAACCCCGAGCGGTAGTCCTTCGGCGAGAGAGCTGACTAAAGACACGTGGCGGTTCTCTACGACGACAGACAGGGCACCCGGGAGGAGGACACGTGGAGGCTACGTGGAGAGCATGCCGAACGGCTGGAACCTTGTCTCCGGCGTCGCGGCTATAAATACCCACAGTGGCTACAGTGTAGGGGACTTTTGGACGATCGATAGGTTGTAACTAGAGACTCCCGACCGCAGTCAGTCGGCACTCAGAGCAACCAAGTAGATTGTACTTAGGAACTCTACCTTGATCAATAAAGACTTACTTGCTTTACTTGGTCTTGTGTTATTTATATTACTTACGTAGAATTAGCAGTATCAAATGAACTATAATTCCATAATCTAATCTATGAATTATAGTTCATTGAATATGGAATTATAGTTCATCGATTATAGAATTGTAGTTCATCGATTCTGGAATTTTAGTTTATAGATTATGGAATTTTAGTTCATTCATTCTGGAATTTTTAGTTCATAGATTAGATTATGGAATTATAGTTCATCAATTATGGAATTATAATTCATCGATTATGGAATTTTAGTTCATATGTTGTTGCTGAAAATCGAACATGATTTTTTTTTTTAAGGGGAGACGCGCATTTTATTAAAACGACGTCGTTTTTGCATCCGTATGCACCATGTCCGTATGCACCATGCATGGTGCATACGGATGCACAGCATAATTTGCCCAAATCAACTTTCTAAAGTGATTTTGATTGGGCCGTATTTGGTTCACCCCACCGAGGTTTTTAATGGCCTGCTCTGTCTATTGCAGGCTGCATGCCCGGACCAGTGTAAAGAACAATGGGCCTACGTTTTCTCATTGGACAAAACTGCCTACAAATTGGTAAAAGAGAAATATATTTTTAGTCCATCGATTATAATATATGTATTAATTTTAATTAATTGACTATTACAATCATTAAATTAAATATATGATTATTCAATTTGTATTATATCTAATTCTTGACTATTAATATTTTCAAATTAAGTGCATGACTATTCAATTTGTATCATATTTAGTCTTGTATTTAAATTTTTCGGCTAATTTTTGCCCAATTCACCGTTAATCGGTTACTTTATTTAATTTGTATTTTAAAAATTATTTTAATAATTTTTAAATTTATATATATATATATATATATATATATATATATATATATATATTAATAATAATAATAATAATAATAAACGCCGGTCACCCCCATCCTCTTCGGAGACGGAGGAAGGGGGTCGGGGATAGAGAACGTCTGCCACCTCACCCCTTCTTCCCTCGTATCCGGTGTAGACGAAGGAGGAGGGGGTGGGGTGGCCCGTCGTTTTTTTTTTTTTTTTTTTTTTTTTTTTTAAGGTTTTTAATTTAAAAATTATTAAAATAATTTATTAAAATAAAAATTAAATAAATTAGTCACTCACCGGTGACTTAGTTGGAAATTTTAATGGTCAGGACCAAATGTGATACAAATTGAATAGTCATGCACCTAATTTGAAAATGTCAATAGTCAAGGACCACATGTGATACAAATTGAATAGTCATTACCTAATTTAAAAATTTTAATATTCAAAGATAAAATTAATACATATATTATAGTCGAGGGACTAAAAATGATATTTACTCTTGGTAAAATCACTATACAAACTCTCTTCTTCTTTTTGGTCGAAAAATCACTAGACAAGGGGAATTGGTAACTTCTTCTTCTTCTTCTTCTTCTTCTTCTTTTTTTTGTTTTTTTTTTTTTTTTGTTTTTTTTTTTTTTTTTAACAATGAAGGCATAGTTTTTTCTTGTTCCGTGTAATTTGATTGTATTCTTCTTTGTTGTATTAAAAATAAAAATAAAAATAAAAATAAATTTAACAGCTAGAGGTGAATGTTTATATATATCATGCTTTCTTAAGTTCATTCATCAAATGTCAATAACCTTGTGATCTACATTGTAATAGAATCCCTTAAGTAGGAGGTTATGGGATCGAGTCTCAGTGGAAGCGATATTAGCTCTTTGTGTTTCAATTGGTTGAGAGAATAGTTATGAACAAATACTGCATTGTAATAGAGTCCGTAGTATTAAAATAAAAATAAAAAATTCTTTTGATTATTACTGGCCATGCATTTATGATTTATCTATTAATTAATACTCTATTATTTGACTTAGCTTGTTAGTTGGAAAGGAAGTCCTTTGAGTTTTTGCTACGGAGATAAGGCTTCAACAAGACAACACAATTACTTATGTATATATTTAACATCATATTTTAAAGATATTTAATTTGCATTTAATTTATAGTTATCCGCTAATAATTGATTTTATATTTTCATATAATTTTCTATCAGGTATAATCAAATATGATACACCCAGTTTTACTAGGTACTATTAGAACTTGTAAATTATGTTGTAAACTAAAATTTACTATGAACATTATGTAATTACTGAAGGTATACATGTCAATTATAGGTAAATAAATTGAATATGTATAATATGTTAATTGTATATACATAATTTGAATTAGAGTTAATAATGTACATGACGAATCTTAGTCCACGATATAATGATTGATTGGAACTAGTCTTTATTATAATAAAATATGGTATCTGTTAAAAATTTACATCACAAATAATGAAAAATTAAATTCATGTTACGAATGAATAAAGATGTCATTTTCCTTCTAAAAAATTAAAAAAATTTATAACCATGGAAGTGGTCAGCCCTCAACCCCTTCATTGGCAAGGCATCATTTTTGTTAGTGCCACATGTCACATGGTTTTTGACATTTTGACACAAATCTTAAATAGTCATGCATGACCATGACTAGATTCCATGCTAGTCAATTCAATTCACTCATTTTCTTGTTCACTATTTAATTATGCATTAACTTATGTGAGAAGTTATTGGTTACTTATCATTTTCTAACAATTAATAAAATGGGCAAGAAAAATAATTGAACTTATGTTAGTTACTTGACTAGTTCAATTTTTTTGAAAAAAAGGGAAAAAGACAAAATATAACACGTTTTGTGTTATTTATAATTTGTACCTTACGAAAGGTATTGTTAATTGTTGTTTATTGATCGATAGTTGCAATAATAAGTAATATAAAGAGGGAATGATATATTTTTATTAAAATTAAGACTATTTCGAAACATATATAGTTAGCTTATTAGTTAATGGTAACTTATTTAATCACTATTAGATGTTTGACTTGGTTAAATACTTAATATGAGTGTCTGATTAATTAACTTTTGTAACAGTTTATTATTTTAAAATGTTAAAATTTAAAAAGCTGCTCAAAACAGTTTTTTTTTAATCCTTTTTTAGAAAGTTATTTTTGCATATAATCAGTTATCAGCTAACGGTTAATTTACCAAATATTTTTTTACAATCAACTAATGATATCAACTAGTCAAATTCACTAACCCAATCATCGAACAACTATTTACCAAACACCCCCTAACGCAGCGTTTGGTTGGAGGGATGGAATTAGGTTGAAAAAAAAACTGTAATTCCATGGAAGATGAATAATGTGAGATTAAAGTGATAATTTAAATTCCAGTATTTGGTTTGCAGAAATAAAAGTACTGAAATTCTGGAAATTTCAATTCCGATGTTTGGTATATATGGAAATTGAAAGGGAATAAGTAGTATAAAGTCCAAAATGTCCATACTTATTATTATTATTATTATTATTATTATTATTATTATTATTATTATTATTATAAATTCTGAATAACCAAATTCAAATTTTGTTTTTGAAATTTTATGTAACACGATGTAAATAAATCATAGAATTGCATAACAAAAGCAATAAAATAGATAAGAGAGTTTTGAGAAGACATATTTGATTGAGGTTGAACTACTAATTGACGTTCTGTTGATAGTAGAAGAAGAAAACGCGCTATAACTGAAAGAGAGAGATCAAACATCAATTTTAGGTTAAAAAAAAAAAAGAGTTGTAATTTTGTCTCAAAGTTATTTTTTCTTCATAAAATCCATGAAATTGAAATACCAAGGGGGGGCATGGGATTCTTTTTTGAATGCTACTGGTTCTATTACAAATACTTTCTCAACCTACTAAAACACAAAGAACCAATAACACTTCCACTGAGGCTCAAACTCACATCTTCCAAATGGAAGTCCAACCTGGATACCATTAGACCACATAGTCTTGGTGGAACATGGGATTCTAATTCCTTGAAAATGAGGGAAAAATTCCCTCAATCAAACGAATGCATTTGCTTTCTTTCAGAATTATGTGAAAATTAGGTATAAATAGAATTGTAATTCACTACCACCAAACGCCATGTAAATTGTACAAATTATGTTAATCAAATCGACATACAAATCAAAATGCATCGACCTAATTTAAAGAGATTTGATTAAGTAAGATTCGATCAAAACTCGACCAGATTAGTTTTAAATTGCGAAATAGGTATACGAATATAGTATGCAAATCAGACGACATACATGATACAACGTATGTATACAAAATACATTTTAAGGTTTACGCCTACTCCCGCGCAAATACGGTTTTGCCAAAAATGGGTTGTTGCATCAATAAAGATCACGGAACGAAAATATAGGCCGTCACGCATCGTATAATTTCTCCTCAATCTATCTTCCGATGATGTTCGGTTGTGTTCCCAAACAACGAAAAGGCACGCCCCCGAAGAATCTGCAATTGAGTCCCCACAACACACTGATCATCAACACTGCCCTTTGTCCCCTCTTTTACTGAGAGAGAGAAACAAAAAGCAAAAGAAAAAGAGCGAAAGAAAAAGCATTCCTTTTTCAGAAAGAGTGAAAGAAGTGAAGGGCGGGGACGGCGGGGTTCCTTCAGCCGCAATGAGGCTCACCGGAGACGATAATGGTGGTGGTGGGGAAGGAGCTTTGACGGTGGTCGGGGTGAAAATGGATGGCCGGAGTAAAGAGTTGTTGACTTGGGCTCTGGTTAAAATCGCTCGGCCTGGCGATCGCGTCGTTGCTCTTCACGTTCTCAATCTCAATACAGGTATGTATATGTATATGTATATGTATCTTGCCGTAATTCATCTTCTGGGTGTCGATCAATTTCATTAATTTTTTTCATTTCCAGAAGATAAAGGGGAGTTGCTTTCGTTGGTGAAGACGTTTGATTCAGTGCTGGCAGATTACGAAGGCTTCTGCAACTTAAAGCAGGTGCCTTTATTCAATCTCTCTCTCTTTCTCTCTTCAAATGTAATTTCTCTGTGAGATTGATTGTTTATGGATACATGCTCGGGGAGTTTAGTTGGTTCTAGGGCGGTAGATTGTAATTAAGGACACAAGATAGCCTTGTAGGGTGGGAGGTACAACTAATGTGGTGGGCTTATAGCGGGCCCAGGCCAGCCTCCCACCTAATGGACAGTTGAGTCATCGTAGTTTCCCACTCCGGGCCGGTGTGGGCGGCTGGGACGAGGGAATTTTGCGGGTTGAGGTGTGGGGGCTGCTAGTACGAGGGAATTTTGCTTTTTGTGGGCGAAGATATTAGTTGTCATAATTCACACGGGCTTAATTTAATGTTTCAGTAGACAGAATTTGAGAGAAGATACTAATGTTTGAACCTCGGCCCCAGCAGTGTGGGGGTTATACTTAAAGTGGGCAGATTCCTTGTGAGTATTGTCATTTGCTCCTATTTGCTAAGCGTTGCTCTGTCGGGCCGGGGTTGGGGATTCAACCTTTTAGGATGAGAACATATTAGTTGTCATAGTAATTAGGATAATAAATGTTTCTCCATTGTGGTGATGATGATGATGCAAAATAATTGAACTGTGTAAGTTTCATAGTAATTAGGATAATAAATGTTTGCAAGATAATTGTTGTATATAATTATCTGCAAATAAATGCAGTTTTAATTTTCATCTTTTGCTGATACCCTTTCTGGCATTACAATAATTTAGGAATGATTAAGGGTGGTTATTGTTAGTCCTATGTTGTTCTCTGAATTGTAAGCTGGCAACTGCTCTTAAGTAAGGTGAAATCTTTTACAGGTTGATTTGAAGTTCAAGGTTTGTAGAGGATCACCGGTGCGTAAGATCCTAGTCCGGGAAGCGAAAACTTATCGAGCTGCAAATTTGGTTGTTGGTACTTCATCCACCCACCATACTATCCGGTCTTCGGTTTCAGTTGCAAAGTATTGTGCCAGGAATGTCGAGAGGAGCGTCTCGGTTATTGCTGTTAATGACGGGAAAATTGCCTTCCAAAGGGGAGCATCGGATTTGACTGGCCAAACGTGTCACGTTGATGTTCCCGGAACAGCACAAAGTAGTGGTGGCGGTAATGAGAGTAACCCTCTAGCTTTGGTGCCCGTCGAGTCTATGGACCCGCCTGAATCAAAGCCGGGAATGGGATGGTCGTTGCTTAGAAGAGTGCATCTTCAAAACGGGAAGAAGTCTGGAAAATCTGCAAAAATGTCGTCTTTAGTGCAACGGGTTCTAACTTTGCAAAGTAGGCAATCTTTTGCAGCTATCTACCCTAGAACGGATGAAAAGAACGATGAAATTGCATCTCTTTCCGTTCCTAAGGAGCTCGAGGATCTTTCGAAAAAGTATGCATCCGTCTGCAAATTGTTCAGCTACCGGGAACTTTTGACAGCAACGTCTAATTTCACATCTGGTACGTGGTCATTCTTGAACCTTTAGAGACGTTCTTTAATGCTAGTGAATCACTAATTCTTCTAAATCACACTTCCAGAGAATATAATTGGAAAAGGCGGGAGCAGTATGGTTTACAAAGGGAGCCTTCCCGATGGCAAGGAAGTAGCGGTGAAAACGCTTAAGCCATCACAAACTATGGTGACCCAATTTTGCTCAGAAATCGAGATTCTTACAACTTTGCATCACAAAAACATTATATCGCTTCTGGGGTTCTGCTTCGGAGACAGCAATCTTTTGTTGGTTTATAATCTGTTATCCCGAGGAAGCCTCGAAGACAATCTCCATGGTAGATTATCAGTTTGATTTTCTCGAAGTCTGCATTGCTGATATCATTACTGACACCTGTCTTATGTATACTAGGTACCCCAAATGTCGGGAATACATTTGGTTGGAGCGATAGGTACAAGGTTGCTTTGGGCATTGCTGAGGCGTTGGATCATCTGCACAGTTCAGCTGATGAACCTATTATACACAGGGACGTTAAATCTTCGAATATTCTTCTTTCTGACGATTTTGAGCCACAGGTGCGTATTTTTCTTGTATTTATTAACTTAAACACATAATAAGATGATACTAAGAAATATTTTGGTCCGACAGCTGTCTGATTTTGGACTCACAACAATGGCTTCAAGTTTATCGTGTCACCTAGAAAGCATTGATGTTGCTGGAACATTCGGGTAACGAACACATTACTGAATTCAGGTATTCCAAATCATTATGAATTTCTGCTAACTAACCATTCTCGTGCAGCTACTTGGCTCCGGAATATCTTACCCATGGAAAAATAAACGAAAAAATTGATGTGTATGCATTTGGTATTGTGCTGCTCGAGCTTTTATCTGGTAGGAAGCCAATTGATAATCGGAATGCCAATGCACAGAAAAGCTTGGTTTTGTGGGTAAGTTTTGTCTTCCCGAACCAAACTTGAATTCAATCTCCAATTTTACGTACAATCTAACTTTGGATTGGCCGACAATGGCTCAGGCGGAGGAAATATTGAGGGGCGGGAAAGCTACAGCGTTGCTAGATGAAAGGTTGGTTGAGGCATACGACCATGATGAGTTCGAGAGGGTAGTCTTGGCAGCAAAACTTTGCATCAACCATGACCCGAGATTTCGCCCTGAAATAAACATTGTAAGTCTTCCATACCTTGCTTCCATTCAATGGCCCCGCTTTCATTCCCAACCGTGGTATTGATCAAATGCTCGGGCAAATTTAAACAGGTGGTTAGACTTCTCGAAGGCGAAGCGGATGCAATTGATTTGGCGAGGCAAGATGTGGATGGGTCGGAGGAATTGGATAGTGAAAAATGCGGAATTAACATCCAATCGTTGATTAATCTTGCATTGTTGAATTTGGAAGATGATTCACCTGCAAGTAGCAGTAATGGTCAAAACATCTCAGTGGAGGATTATTTGCAGGGGAGATGGAGTTGTTCCTCAAGCTATGATTAGGCTTTCTAACCAACATTTTGGTCTGCAGACAAGCTAACAGTGTTGTTTTATATGTAAATCCCCCTTCCCCTCCCATGTAGTTTCTTGGTTTGGTTTTCTTGTAATTATGGATGGGTATGCAAAGCTGCCTCATCCTTGCTTGATTTGTTCTTAGTTAAGTTCCTACCAGAGTGTGTATAATCAACATTCATGTTTGTAATCATGCTGAAGATGAGATGTAATGGCAAATTATACCATGACCAGAGTTTATCTTGCATTGTAGAACCTGGTCCAAAAATAACTTTCAGAATCTATATCTATAGTTAACATTCATGCCTTTAATAGTATCTGTACATGTAGCTATCATATTATGTATGGTTGACACATTCTGTACGTGTCAACAATTATCAAGATATTTGTACAGAATTTTTGTATCTAGATTTACAATGTAATATGAACCCTGGTAAATAAACTGTGGCTTCTTCCCATTCAAAATAAGTGATGAGTTCATAGCAGGCCAGTTACATATATGTAAAACCTGTCCAAAACAGCCAGTGAACACACTACTATTTAGAAACCAGTACCACAATTGATCAAATTTTGCATTGACAAAAGACTACATTTACACATTAATCACCCCCCTCCCAGATATATCTATCATCCAAGTTGATGACTTCATTCCCTTTTCCTTCATTTCGAACCACGACTACATTCACACATTCATCACCCTCTCCAACTTCCCAGATATATCATCCAAGTCGATGACTTCATTCGCCTTTCCTTCATTTCGAACCATGTCCAGCTCTGCATACAGCTCAGCTATTTGCTTCTGCAGCTTCTCTCCTCTATCAGGCAATCTCATTCCCTGAGATATTAATAAAACAAAAAAAACTTCAATAGTTGAATCCATGTTAAAACACATGTATAAAAACTACTGTTGCAAGAGATTCTTCAACACCTTTTCCGCAAACATGTGTGACAGTCTTTTGATTCGATCTCTAATTTCAGACTCAGTTGGATGAGAAACGACATTGTATGATTTCTTTGGCGCATGTGACTTCACCACGTCTTTTGGATTGAACGCGAATTGTGCCCCTCTGGAAAACATACCAATGTAACAATGTTACAAACTCGTAGAGAACATGATATTTTCAATTCAAAAAAATATGATGTATGCCTAAACAGTCCGGGATTTACCCAATGACATCAGGCTCAACTGATGAGCGTGATGGTGCATTTCCCACATACACAGCAGCCGCTCTCACACTGCATCCAGGAATAAAAACGTAGAGTTAGCATCCCAAGTTAATGCATATATGCATACTCTATATGAATGTGCAATTTAATATCTGACTCACCTTCTAACATCCTCATCATCCAGATCAACTGTTACAGGGGCTGTTTTGGAAAATAGTAAACTATGTTGACTAACTCCTGCTATATCCAACGTCTCCAAAAACTCCATTTCGGCTTTTGCTGACCCTTCCCTGCAAACAAATGACATAACATATGAGGAAAGGGGCGAGAAAATGCATGCATGGCCATAAAATCAAAAGAAGAAATTTTAGAAGCATTGGAATACATTTTGTGGTGGTGATCATGCTCTTCATCCAATTGTTGTTGAGTCAAAGATACATCAAAACCCTGTTGAGGAATACTGAAGAGCTCCTGAAGATCCTGAAATTTAACGCACATATTACATATGTATACAATGTATATATCACATACATGCATAAGCATAGATGGTGGTCTTAACAAAAAGTGGATAACATTGTATTCTGAGCACACAATTTACACATACCCCTTTACTGAAGTAACGGACTTGTTCTCTATGCTCAGTTGCACTTTTGAACAAACCCCCCTTGAAAACCTGTATTAGGATTTTTTTTTTAATAAAAATAAAATTAGAGAATTAGGTTTAGAAGTTGTCATCAAAGCAACAACCAAATTATGAAAATTAACTAGAAAATTTCAAATTCTTCAAATCTGTATATATTTCAGAAACTTAAATAGACTTCTCAAGAAAAGTTAATCAATGATTTCAGATATCAACTTGTAATGCATTTGCCATAATTAGTATCCATAGGCTACAGGATTTAATTGTAGAAGTACTCTTGAAGAAACAGAAGTTTGCAACTGCAAGTGTTAAATGAATAAATAAATATGTATGGACCTGTTTTCTGTAGATCTTCTCCTCAACTGTACCACAGGTCATCAATCTGTATACAATCACATCCTTTTTTTGCCCAATACGATATGCTCGGTCAACACTCTGATTGTCAGTACTGCAAAGCATCAAAACTCCTCTGGTAAGATTATGCATATGGAAAGCACAAACATTTTCAACAATTAATTGTAAACTTAGCATCAAATGTCACCAAATATGCATATCAGTAAATATCCATACAACACTGAGTCATCCAAAAAACCTAAAAGACAGATTTTCAACCATGTACCTTGGATTCCATGCTGGATCAACCACAATCACACGATCTGCTTTTGTGAGTGTGAGACCCAAACCACCAACTTGAGAAGTTAAAAGGAAAATAGGAGCACCGCAACCCTCTTGAAAATCCTATAAAATTAAGAAACCAAACATAATTATGTGAACTTGTAAAAGCATAAGATAAACTCTAAGAAGAAGACCAACATTAACAATCTTCAATCTATCAGCAGCTTTAGTAGTCCCATCAATCCGCAAGAACTTAAAACCACTGCAGTTTAAAGAAGCCTGGAACAGAAAATGGTTAAATAATAATCACATCTACAGTTAAGGAAAAAAAATTTTAAAAAAAAATACATTAACAAAAGTGGTAGTACCTGGATCTGATCAAGCATCCTACGCGTTTGTGAAAAAATAAGAACATGGTGTCCATTTGGAATCAAAAATTCCTACAGTAAAGAATCACTGGCATTAACAAAATGCAATTGATGTAGGTAGGAGATATGTATTAATGTTGATGATAACTAACCAATAATTGCATTATAAAAGTAATCTTGCACGAAATATTTTGATTCTCCTCAATATCAAACTTCTCAGCTGCATCTGCCATTTGCATTACCAATCTTTCAGCCATAGCATGATCCTCTTGGCCTGGGACTGACATTGATTCCATTCCTTCCAAAACTTCTTCAGCAGCTCTTTTGGTTAATAAAAGAGGATGATCACAAATTTTTTTCAAAATCTGCATGCAGAAAATTGTATTTCCAATCATACTTCAAAGTTTAAAATATATTTTGAAATTGAAAAATAATAGTACCAATAACTTCTTTTAAAAATTCAAATCTTCTTTATAGAGAATTAATTTGTTTTCATTAATATATGATGTTTTCAAAGAAATGAAAGTTTCCACAGATATTGGAAATATAATTTTATAAAATTTAGTAGATAAAATTAGCATTATATTTAGTAGATAAAATTAGCATTCTAAGTTTCCACACATGCAAGTCTGTAGTAGCATTATATTGTGGTTCACTATGTCAAATATACAAGATAGCATTCAAAATAAATTAAGAATATAACAAAATAGAGCTCTATATACTATATAGAATACAATGAGTGAAAGTAAACTTTCATTTAGAGCATTACCGTTAATGCTGCCAATGGCGAGCTATCACAAGCTGAAAGTACTATCTCACTCTTTAAAAAGGCAACGTACAGTTGTCGCTATACCAAATAACAGAGTATAAGGTGAGGATCACTTCAGTTAAAAAAAAAACCTTCAGAGGAAGAAAGGTGCATATTTATACCTGGCAACTAGTTAATTTTAGCCACACACACATCTCATTTTTCTTGGAAAGCTTTGTGCTAGTTGAGGCATCTTCTGAAAATACCTCACTTTTAAGACGTCGCAAAAAGTAAGGTTGTATACGATCTCGTAACTCCTGTTAAAACAAAATTTAAATTAATAAAAAAAAATTAAAAAAAATTAAAAAAAAAATTAAAAAAAAAAAAAACCAACAACAACAACAACAAATTATAACAAGACATAAGCAATCTATATGGTTAGAACTTAGAATTTAACTATGTCAAATTGTCAAGTGCAAAGTCCACTTAGTTAAGCTTTAAACCTAGTTGGTGGATTGAAGCATTATGAATTATGAAACACGCTATAATAGAACATATGACCATACATGCACTAATGTCCAGAGTCCAGTTACATTTGTGCATGTGTATCAAGACATATGCAAATACATACATTTATTAGAAAAGAAAAAAGAAAACAAGAATAGGAGATTTCAACATGCCTAAATGAAGCCATAAATATGCTAAATAGGGGATAAAGAATCAAAAGAGTGTACAAAAAGCACTAAACAGGAAATACTATTACATGGATGTACAAACTTTGTTTGGTATACAAACTTAAGTTCAAAAAATAAAATAGAAACAACAAGAGAAAATTGAATCTACACCGAACCATTACCTTTGCCACTGCTGAACCGATACGCTTTTCCCTATCAGTTGCATTTTTTTCATTTCCCCGAAGAATATAATGTTCATATTTTTCCTTAAACCTGAAGTGAAGATATAAAATAGGTTCATGTCTATGAACTTAAGATCTTAGCAAAATTAGATTATTCTCAAGAATGATGATAAGTACCACTTATTGTCACCAAGCAATCCAGGTGAACAAAAGTTGAATAGTGCCCACAGTTCCTACATTAATAAAATGAAAACGATTAAAAAAGCTGCAGCAATTCTTGACATTGACATCCCTTAAAGTGAAAAGGACAGAAAAAAAAAAATTATATAGAGCTCAAAAGGAAATAGTAAAGGCTACTGCAAACAAAAAATACCTTTAGATTGTTCTGAATAGGTGTTCCACTAATGATGATACGATGAGCACAAGGTATTTCATGCAAACTTTTTGCTCTCTGTGTACTGGGATTTTTTATCAGATGTCCCTATAAGGATTTAAAGTTCACGCATAAAAAGGCAGAAGTCAAGAATCTTGTATGCGCTGTTTAGATTCCAACTTTTACAGAATGTACTATCAAAATTCGCACCACAAATCCAAAGGATTGAAACTGTTTTCTCAAGTTATAAGGATGAAAGTGAATCATTCTGGGGACATGGATACCACCAAAGAAACAGAAAACAAGGCCCAGAAGAAGTTATGGAAGCTGACAGATTAAATTAATTGGAAGCTGACAGATTAAATTAGTTGGTTACCTTGTGTAGCAGAAATAAACAATGAACTATTCTGTTTTTAGTTTTTATTAGTGGTGATCAGGAAAGTTGGCGATATTTATTATTAGTTATGGAATCCTTGTAATAGCCCGATAAAAGGGAGTGTTATTGGGAATACTAGACAAGCAGAAACTTCACCCTAAACAAAGGGGCAAGGGGGTTTGGGGTCTCAAGCAAAACCCAGTTTTTCTTCTTATTTTTCCAGCAACCCCCCTTCTCAATTTTTTGCCTGTGATGTTTATATCAGAAAGTCCTGCTATAGTTTCCAAATGCTGATCATCTTGGAGCAATCATGTTAGAAAATACCAACATCTTTTAAGCAAAAAAGTAACAACATACATACCTATATATTATCAATACCCATTATGTACAGTGTAATGAGTTCAGCCAAAAATAATTTCTTGCATGGATCTCAAATATTGGACTAGAACTCACTAGAATTATAATGTTTAAATCTCCTGAATGGCCCAACCTTTTCTTACTTTCGTTGAAAAAGCAAAGGCTAGAAGGTTATTGTACTTAGACCTAGAGACCAGCATGGTATCCAACGTGATAATTTCAACAGTTTCTAAGTTGCTAATGGAACTTTGAAATGTAAAAAATGCACACCAGTAAAAACCCAACAAATATAGACATAATCATAATATATTATTTACAATTATAAGACCTGTCAACATATTGAAATTGAGATTAAAAAAAATCTAGATTAGGACCTACCTCATCAAGAATCATGTAATCCCATATAATATCGTCCTCACTTCCATCACCATAGCGATAATAATCCCCACACAAAGATTTTACATTATTTCGAACAATGTCATAAGTTGTGAGGAGAACACCTTTGTCCTGAAAAACGAAACAGAAATCAGATCCCATAACTAAGTATATAATAATAGAATAAGATCAACATCAATGTTCTCAAATTAAAATCAGGATTCAAACTCAGTCATTGATAAAACAAATGAGCACTGGGTAAAGAAGAGCAGAGGAACAATAAAACATTAAATGAAATTTAGTCAACAAAATAAATTAATTTCACTCTTGTTGAAAATATATTTAAAATATTAAAAGGCATGAACAAAGTGGGCATTAGCTCTATCAAAAATTTGGAAAACTCAATAAAAATAGTTTCAATATGATGATAGTATGAAGAAGACATAGACTAATTGTGTTAAATACTTCATTGCACGAATTTTGAAGATGAAATCACGCACCTGCAGTATATATTGGAGTTCATAGTCCCGAGCTTTCATACTAGTCCCAAAATATCTACAGCAAAAGAGGGCAAATCACTTCTCCATACAAAATATGGTGCAATAAATAATAAAGCAAAGAGAACTATGAACACAAAGCCTTACTCTCTAATCATCTCAGAGAGCCCCACAACAGATAATTCTTTGATCCAATGAGGCATTAGTGTTTTGGGAGCAACAATCATAGCCCTTTTAATCAACTTTGAATGAAACAACCCAGCTAAGAAGCCACATATCTGAAGCAAGGTACACGTACAAATAAATTTCTATCCACATAATGATGTTAATATTATTCTTTTAGGGGAAATGTAGGATCTTAGGATTCATTACCTGCATTGTCTTTCCTAGACCCATATCGTCACCCAGAATGCCTCCCTTCCCCTGACAGTGAATAGACCAAAGCCACTTCAAACCATCACACTGATGAGGGTATAATATCTTTGCAACTTTTTCAGGTAGCTTATAACTATAGTTTGGGCCATCCAAAGTGAATGAATGTTCTTCAACTGAGACAAAATCATCTCCATCATCCCAGTCACGGGGCTCCTGTGCAAAATTCTTATTTGGCCTTCCCGCTCTTTTAAAATCATTCTTGTCACTCATAAGTACACAATCATCATCACTGTCATCTTCTTGAGCATTATAAGAAAAACTAGTCTTTTTCACATGTTCTGATTTTCCCACCACTCTTTTAGCTTCATTTGTTTTTTGTTCTTCCCTTAAACTCCTGATCCTGCAATCTCTTCCACCTAGACTCTGAATCTCCAGGTCATTCCTTGACCCAATATCCAAAGGAGACTGCTCCTTAATTGCATCACCTGATCCATTGGCAGAATCAGATGAGAGAGAAAATGAAGAATCAGCACTTTGGTATTCAGGAAGCTCGTCCTTCGTTTCAGTCCTGTCAATGTGCTTTTTAACCCCTTTCCTATCAATTGAAAGAATCTCGAGTCTTGAACTTAAATCATTCAGGATATCCCTAATTTCACTCCCACCACCAGCATATTCACTCTCAACTGCATTTTTCACTTGGGGTGGTGAGTCAAAGTCTGAAATCCCCAAACCATTTGCCCCTTCATTGCCATTCAGATTCTTTTCCTTTCTATCAATTTCATCTGAAATTTTGCACAGGCGACGTCGACCTTTGATCCTCCTCTTTACAACTTTTTCCTTCTCTCCTGCAAGGTATGCACCCATTTAAACCTCACCAATGTGCAAAGTAAAAAAGAAATACAAAAGATAAATTCTGGGTTTTTATCGCAGAAAAAAAGACAAAGTCATATATACATATTGGCTGGGGTAATATGTAGAACTGTAGAAGGTTATTACTTCAACCATTACTGGTAAAAGGATTGTATTTTTTTATGGAATCAATTCATACTTTTTGGAAACTTTTAGATTTTTAGTGTAAACCAGCTGAACTGCTACTGCAAGTAAATTAATGATTAATTGGCTTGATGATCAACAACTTTGCACATGGGAGATTGGGAATTCCAAGATTCAGTACCAGGTACATGTGTGCTGGTATAAGCAAAATCTGATAAGTGCAAAAAATCTTCTGTCAATGTACTTCAATTCCAATTTTGGAGTGAACAGCTAATTCATCTTCAAATGAATTATCAAATCTTCTATCTAATCTATCTAAATATGTAAGACTGTACGATACTGGAAACTAAGACAGTGTGTAGTGAGTACCAGGCAGATTAGAATCAATATGAGCAACTTCTGAGATGCGAGAAAAGTCTTCTGTCAGTGTATCTTCAATTCCACTTTTGGAGTGATCAGTTAATTCCTCCTCCTCAAAACAACTCTTGGGCCTTGTATCTAAAGCAGCTACTTCAGAGCACTGAGGGACAAAAGTGTCTTCGAGAGACTCTGATTCTTCGGTTGGTTCCTCTTTATATTTGATTAATATGCATTCAATACATAGCATATGCGTCAATAATAAACTTATAAGAATCCTTCTAATTAATATAAAAATGCAGACCTAGCCCTACACAAACATGAATTAAAACATGAAAAGTAAGACATACCAAGAGGAGGAGAAGCAGTAGGAGAATCAAAACCAATTCCAAAATTAGGAATATCGTCATTTAACTCATTTTCATCTTGGAGATTTTTCCCAGCTGTGATCTCCTTTTCCTCTTTAAAACCAATCAGACAGTGAGTATACACAAGCCCCAAAATATGCAATGTCTAAAACATCAGTTTGATAAAAGGAAGCCATACCGAGAGAATGAGAATCAGATGGAGAGTCAAAATCAAATCTAAAACTAGGAACGTCATAGTTTTGTTTTTCATCTCCAGAATCACCCTGGGCTCCGATCTTCTCCTTTTCCTCTTCAAAAGACAATCAGACAGTGAGCATATGCACACGCACCCACAAATGCAATACATTGATATGTAGTAAAAGACTGAAAGATCCAATTTTTAACAACTAAACAGCAGTCTGTGATCTATAAATGCTGTCAAATCAAATGCATAAACAAACAAACACAGTCATGTTTGGGGGCGGAAGGGATACTTACGATGGAAGCGAGAAGATGGAAGGGGTTTGGAATGGGATGCAGAAAAGTCTAAGAGGACGCGGTTGTGACGTTGATTGAGGCTCAGGTGTTGTTGCTTCTTCTTCTGATCGGCCATTTCTTCTTTCGTTTGCTGCAGTGAGTTTCTGCAACTCCGTGAAATGGGGATGCTAGTCTGGCGTGGGGTTTTAAGGTCGCTCTTCCTTCTTAGGTTTTATACTATTCAGTTTGAATTTCAAATTCTATGGTTGGATTGGTTGCCCGTTGGGTCTTCCCTCTACAATTTCCTTTTTTATATATAGATTTATTTATTTATTTATTTATTTATATTTATTCTAGGATTTTATAAACAACATGAAATATCTTTTGTTAAAGTATACTTTTAGTCACTCAAACATCTTCTGTTCAGACGACGGACTCTCTAGAGAGAAGGTTACAAAATGGACTGTAATATATAGAAAATTTATAAAATAGATACTACATTGTATTTTTGTAATATACTCAATAATACTCAAAAAAAAAAAAAAAATACATTAAGTCATTGTATTATGATTATTACATTACGTTACATTCTATTCCTAAATGTTCAACTGATGAAAGAATGGGTTGACCTCCCAACACATCGTATTAGTTATTTAATTTGTAAAAGTATTTAGTAAAATTAATTCTTCATCCGTTAACATGCAAAGTGATATAGAAGGGGTCCGACTGCTTTAGCCGAATTCCAGCCGTTGAATAATCAACTCTGCCAGCTGGAGGCCCAGGAGGATATTTATTGGAGGCAACGAGCAAAGCAGCACTGGCTACGTGGAGCGGACTCCAACACAAAATTTTACCACAGGTATGCTTCTGATCGTAAGAAAAATAACTTTGTTACTAGATTGAAGAATGTGGATGAGATTTGGGTGGAAGGGGAGAATATGAATTCAGTTATCCTGGAATACTTTAAATATATTTTTGGCTCTAGTAATTCTATGTGTAATGATCCCCTGTTTGATAACTTTGCCTCTCGTGTCATCGTGTGTCTCCTGCTCAAAATGATACTTTATTGCGCCCGTTTGAGCCTGATGAGGTTAAGCTGGCAATTTTTTTCTATATTTCCTGATAAAGCTCCAGGCCCAGATGGACTGAATCCAGGTTTTATCAGCATTTTTGGGATGTGGTTGGGCGAGATGTATCTACTTTTGTGGTTAATTGCTTAAATTCATGTGTTTTCCCGGAGGGATTAAATGATACAAATGTTGTTTTAATCCCAAAGAAAAGTGTGCCAGAGACAGTTGCAGATTTGAGACCTATTGCTTTGGGGAATGTTTTATATGGAATTATGACAAAAATGATAGCCAACAGGATGAAACCACTTATCGGGGAATTAATTTCGGAAACCTTGAGTGCATTTATTCCAGGACGGCTAATCACTGATAATATTCTAATAGTTGCTACTGGTTGGGAGCTTTAAAATTGAATATGGCAAAGGCCTATGATAGGATGGAGTGACAATTCCTATAAAAGATGCTTGGGGTTATGGGATTCGATGACCGGTGGATTAAGTTAATTACGCTTTGTGTGACTACCGTAACCTACAATATTACGGTAAATGGCGTGAGTACTGGTCAGGTAATACCTACTCGTGGCCTCAAGCAAGGAAACCCTCTATCACCCTATTGATTTATTATTTGTGCGGAGGGTTTATCTATGTTACTGCAGAAAGCTCAAATGGCAGGCTCAATACATGGGTGCAGATTAGTTAGAAGAGCCCCCCTATCTCACATATTTTCTTTGCAGATGATAGCCTTCTATTTTTCAAAGTCAATATCCAATAAGCCAGTGTGATTAAACAGTGTTTGATAAGGTACAAGGAATTATCTGGACAAATGGTGAATTTTAATAAATCAAGTATCTGTTTTAGCATAAATACCCCGGAGAATGTTAGGGAGGAGGTGGTGTTATCCAAAGGGGTTGTGCAAGCCCCAAATTTTGTAAAATATCTTGGCCTACCTTCATTTGTAGGTAGGAATAAGAGGGTTGTTTTTGCCTATGTGGAGGATAAAATCAAACAGAGGATCGGATCATGGAATAAGAAGCTGCTCTCTCAGGCGGGTAAAGATGTGCTCTTAAAGAGTGTGTTGGCGGATTGGGATTCAAGGATCTCCGTGCTTTCAACCTGACAATGCTGGGAAAATAGGCCTGGCGATTCCTTACTGATCCTACCTCCCTAGCTGCAAAGGTATATAAGGCTCGTTATTACCCCAAAACTTCTTTTATTGATGCCACTTTAGGGAACTGCCCGAGTTATTGTTGGCGGAGTATTATGGCAGCACATGATATGGTATGTTCTGGGGCCCGCAGGAAAATTGGAAACGGTACTACAACTTTGACCTGGGACACCCTTGGTTGCCTGATGACCCCAGTCCATTAATTCAAACACTTATGCCTGATGAATTGAAAGAGGCCCTAGTGGCAGGTTTAATTGATCAGCAAATGAATGAATGGGATCCTCATATTTTATCTGACCTGTTTGAACCGGAGGATGTGGCTCGTATATCTAGAATCCTGATTAGTTCAGAGTATGAGGACTCATGGTATTGGCTTAGTGACCCAGGTGCTTTTGATAAATGGGTATCATTATGGAAATTGAAGGTTCCACCTAAATGGAAAACCTTCCTATGGAGAGCTTTGTGTGATATTCTCCCCACCACTAGCAACTTAATTATAAAGAGGGTAGATGTGAACCCAACATGCTCAATGTGTGATTTACAACATGAAGATGTTATGCATTCTCTTGTTCTTTGTGAATACTCTAGACTTGTATGGAATGTTACGGAGTTACCTATCACAAATATTTTGGCTAACTCGTTTCCAATATGGCTCATGGGTGCGTTGAATATTTTGACAGAAGAACAATGTGGTCAATTGGTGGCTGTGCTTTATTATCTCTGGAATGCCCAAAACACAGTCGTGTGGGAGGGTACATTGTTCCGGGCCGGACAGATATGGCGACGGGTTGATGCCGCCATGCACACGTACGCCCAGCTCCACCGGCGTCTTCCTCACCCTTTGCCGACATCAGCATCTGCAGAACCGGAGCAGGTCCGCCCGAGGTGTTTTGTAGACGCGGGATATCGGCCGTCCACCGGAGAAGCTACAATTGGCGTTGTATTACTCTCGCAAACAGGTTCGTTTCAAGCAGCCACAAATGGACAATTGCCGGGATGTTTTTCGCCGCTTATGGCCGAAGCACTTGCATGCAATGAAGCATTATCTTAACTCAGGGAACGAAACGTGATGGATGTGGATCTCCTAACGGATTGCTCAGAACTACGAAGTTCTTTACTCTCGGCTCCCACGGCTATTCGGTCCTATGTTGGGGTCGTTGTGGACCAATGCAGGACGTCAATTTCTTTGTTTAATCATTGCTCTTTAAATGTTATTTCTAGATCGTTAAATTTACATGCTCATACTTTAGCTTCGGTAGCTTTTGATCAGGAACACTCTATGGTTTGGGACTCCGTCCCCCTGACTCTATTGCTTTACTCATTCATTAATATATAGCTTTGCTTTATTTTCAAAAAAAATAAAATAAAATTGAATAATAATAATAATAATGGTCAAGTAAGTCATTGAACTATATACCAAATTACAATTGAATTATCGAACTCATAAAATCTACAATTAAATCCTTAAACAATGCAAGATTTTAACTTAAAATCACCTATTAACCTGGTATCTGCTAACAATCACTAATACAATATGCTGATCTAGTTGTAATTTTTTTTTTATTAGATGACCTATTTGACTATTATTCACAATAATAATAATATAATAATATAATACTAATAATAGGAGCAACCCCCCATTTTCTTTTACCACATCAGTAAGAAAAGTATGAATGAAGTCTTGAGACTCTTAAATTGCTTGCCCATTCATTGTCCATCTAATTGGGTGGGTAAAATTGAGGAGTATATTCATTTATTAAAGGAGTCTTTAAGCCTCTTTTAGAAGTTATATATATATATATATATATATATATATATATATATATATATATATATATATGAAGTGGTGTTTTGAGAAAATATTTTTTTTTTCTCCAAAACACCAACAATCAAGCACTATAAAATGCAATGTTTGCAAAATCAACTGTTTGGTAAACAATGACAAATTCGCCATTTACCAAATTAGGCAAAGGTGAATTCAGTTATTATGAAGTATAAATCTTAAAAGTTATTAGGTGAGGAAAATAATGAGAACCCATATGCAAGATTTTGAGATCTATGTGATAAGAAAAAAGAGTTAGAGATGTGAATTAGACTAAATATCAAAGGCATAAAGGATGAGGTATAACTGTATAACGTGATAAAAAAATATATAGGTCCACGTGCAAGAAGACACAAAATTAAGAATTGTAAGGTGCAAAGGTCTATTTAGAATGTCAAATATGAGGACGACAAAACCAAATAATAGCATATGAAGGGGCAACATTCTCCTCCACCTTGCTAGTGGGAATGCTGACCAATGCCCCCACCATGCCTACATGTGCACCAAAGGGTCGCATGTGGTTACTAATGGTCGCTAGCAAGTGTCAGTGACTGTCAATTAACTTTTAGGCCAAGCGTATATGGGGTGTTTTCACCCCTCGCCCTGTTGTGGATTTGGGCGGGGACAACAAGAGCTATCGATGGCGGATCAACAATGGAAACTTGTCTGGCAACGTGATAAGTAGTCTAACTTGGCGGGATAATTAGTCGGCTATGTGGGACACGTGTAGTTGGAAATATCTGAACATCCTAATTCACCTGTTGTTTAGAATTAGCAACTATAAAATTAGTATAAACGGGTGTGGTTGGGGAGATCATATTCTATTTAGACACCATTATCTCTTCTCACATAGCATTCGTCTTTTGGTTCCTTGTTGTCCTCAACAATAGAAAAAGGAGTGCTTGGAGTAACTAGTGGGGCAGTGATATGAGTGAGTAGTTTCTTTATTTTTATTTATTTTTATTTTTTTATTTTCCCCTTGTATTTAATTAATTATTTGTAATCCAATTACATTATTATAGGGTCAAAAATCATGTGGATATTTATTCGAAACTTTTAAAATGTACTCATATTTTTGCTAAATATATATAAATATAAAATATATATACAAAAAGTGCACTATTAAACTTGTATGGTCTAAAACACATATAATGGAAACATTACATTATATATAAAATGTTCGAACATATAATGTGTAATCTCGTCCCGAACGAATGAGATAATTGAAGTATTTTCTCGCGTTAGCGGGAGGATATATATAATATTTTTCTACTTACAAAATAAAATGCACAAAATTTTGAATTATTTAGAATTATTTTGGTACATCCCACAAGTAAATTACTATTACTAGTAAGTATAAAATCACTATTATACCAAGAGGAATTTGTAATAATGACTTATTTGCAATTTTAAAAGAGTTAAATGATTTATTTGAAGTTCTTTTAGTTTGAGGGTTCCATTTGTAATTTTAAAAGAGCTAAAAAGAGCGATGGTAGTCAATGTGAAAAGAGGGGTTTAGGTCAGTATTTTGAAGAGAAGAATCTGGCGCCATATCGTCTCTTTCAGGGAAACATTCAGAATTGAGTTTATACCGAACAGTCAGTTGAGCGTTTCAGAGCAAAATTCTGAAAATGGAGACCGAAAGAGAAGTAGCGTGCAGGGAAAACGAAGAGCTAGCGGCGCACATGTGGAAGATGGCGGAAGACAAGAGAGGGATATCAGATAATATTTATAAGACTCTTCACAAGGCCTACACTAACGTCTGCAACTCCAAGGCCCCTATTAAGACCCTCCGAGACCTTTCTCAAATCAAGTAAGCAAAGCGGAAGTCGAATTAATCGTGAATTTCAGTTGTTTTTGCTTTGTTTTTATAGATTTTATATATAAGAGAGATCAGAGCTGTAACGAGGTTGCTAATGGTTGAATTATATGTAGGGGTGTGGGGAAGTGGATTTTGAAACTAATGCAAGGCTTTTTTGAGACTGATTCGGAGGCTCCTGGTAATGAGAACTTGAGTGATAAAGGTAATCCGATGTTTATTAATGTCGAGTACCGTTGTGTAGTTCAGTTTATGAAATTAATTTGAATATTTTGTTTGATGCTATTTTGATTGGTTGAATTAAAGTGATTTTTTTAGTAATGTGTTGGTTTGTGTGTTGTAAGGATAGTAAAAGTACTCTGTAACATTTTTCAGGGAAGAAGAGGAAGGGAACTAAGAGGTATATGCCACAGAGGAACTCTGTGGCATATGCCTTGATAATCACACTCTACAGGTAAATTAATTAAACTATGTTTGATCCTTTTTGTTTTGTTTTGTTTTGCTGATTTAATTTCTTTTTGTTCATCATGCTTTCATGAAATGAAAAATGTTTGACTTGTAGGGCCATATCAGATGGAAAGGAGTTTATGCGCAAACAGGAGCTGATTGATGCAGCGGAAGCGAGCGGTCTTTCCCGTGCTCCAATCGGGTAATAATACATTATTTACTTAGTTTTAGTTTTAGTTTTTTTTTTTTTTTTTAAATTTAGTCTGTTAACATGTTTAGCACATATTACATGATGAATTAGATGGCTTTTAATTTTCTGTGCAAATGTTTGTAGACCTGAGAAAGGAAAAGGGAAACCTGGGATTGGAAACTCACCTAGGGACTGGTACAGTGGATGGAGCTGCATGAAAACACTAGTAACTAAAGGGCTGGTTGTCAAGTCTAGCTGCCCGGCCAAGTAAGCATGCCTTTCTTTTTGTCTTAACCTAAAAATATACTTTTATATATATGCTGTTATGCAAAGATGATGCAATATGCAAATTGTGGTTGATTTTTTATGCAATTATATTGTAACCTAATATACCTTCAGAGAATGAGTAGGCCAGACCCTCTATCTAGTTGATGTGTACTTATATTCTTTATGTTTTTGCGCCTCCCCTAAATTCCATTATGAATATGAAAGTTGTTACTATACTTCAATCTACCCAAAAGGGATTAATTTTTTGGATTCATTGAAGAACTCAAACTGTGTAGTAATAGATTATCATGTATGAGAGTTAGGGTGTCTTTGAAACTAGCAGCAATGCAGATCATTCAGTTTTCAGAATTTTAAGTTCTGTGATGTCATCCATTTCTCACTCAATGCATATTTTTAACATTATATTTCCATTACCAAGGACACATCTGCTTCAATTATTTTGCTGGCTGTTGCCTGCTTGTATCCTTGTTGCTTGATGCTGATTGAAGACTTTATCTCTTCAATTGTCAACCTCACCCTGCAATATGTAGAGTCATTAGTCATTACACGGAAATACAGAACTTAGACTGAGACATGAATAGTTAATCAATTGGTGGTCAATCATAGTATTTGATGCTTGAAGTTAACATTGTAGATACATTCTTGTAAACTTAAAATCTGTATATGTTTTTTCTTCTCATTTTCAAACCTTTAATTTGGGGTTATAATACATTGACATCCTTAATGAGGATTGCTGCAGGTATATGCTAACAGAAGAAGGAAAGGAAACTGCACGTGAATGTCTATCAAGATCTGGAATTGTTACTTCTGATGAAAGTCTGGCCAACATGGAAGAAATTTCAAATTTGGATGGGAAGGTCATGGAAGATGAGGGCTTCTCAGAAAAGGACATGTCAGATGTGGAAATTGAAAGTGAATCTTCAGAAAAACAAGTAGCATTGCCCTCTCTTCAATTGGGTGGGCAGAAGAAAATGATTGATATTCCCCCAGGGTGTTTTGACAGGGTATTCCTATGTTTTAAAACTTGAAGTATTTATTCTGCCAAATACTTCCTATAAGCTCCTTGCTTTGCTGCACTGCTCTAAGGGCTGCCTTTATTGCAGAGGGGCCAGAAACAATACCATTTTCTTATTCTGTTATATTATCCATGAAAAAGGGAAATAAATACAACTTAAAGTTATGTCTTAATATATATATATATATATATATATATTCTAGTCATGAAGCTGTTCAGTTATTTCTCTCGTGAGAATTTCATTTTTGCTTCATTATATTGCTCTTAGTTCCCATATGAATGTAGTAATTTCATATGATTTATTTCTTGTAGTTTATGGGAATGGGGTTTTCCAAGGAACAAATTACTCTTGCTTTTTCTAAGGCTTCAGAGACCTCACAAGGAAAGGACATATCATCACTTTGGCCGACTGTTCTGTGTCAACTTCGAGAAGATCAAGTCTATGGTTTGTTTGTCATTGTTTTGCTTTCTGGCTTTATTGTTTCTCATAGAAAAGATCTGGATGCCCAAACTACAGTTGAATATGAGGATAGATTCTAGTAAATAGTAAATACTGGTGGAACTGTTGGGAAGCTTTACTTCAATTACTTGAAATGACCTCATGCCTTCTGGTGGGCAGGCCTAAGTTCTAGCACAGTTGAGGAAAGAGTAGTCAAGACTGCTTGCAGGGGACCATCCGATGATCCAAAGTCTTCTAGCTTTGCAGATTTCAAGCAGAACTCAACTACATTGATCGCCTTCCCATCCCCTGTAAGTTTAGTCAATTTGTACAATGAAAAAATTTGTCTGCAAATTCCATCATACGAACAATTTTTTTATACCTTTGTAGTTTACTCCATATTTCTTTTGCACTTAGCTGAAAATTATTCTGGTCTTGGTGTGCGAAAAACTACTGATGTAATTATTTAAATGAGGTTGATGCCAAAACATCCAAGAGTCAAACTTTATTAGTTTGTAATTATTTTTCTTGAATGATACTCTTGTGCTGCAGAGAAGTGTAATGGGTTTCATTTTGTTGATCATCCCAATTTCTGATTAACAAACCTTGGAATTATTACTATGGTTATCATTAATTTTTTTCCAAGTCTTTTGAGTTTTACATCAAGCACTTCCCATTCACAGCATTGGGAACTGGGTTTGATTCTCTTCATTAACTGGTTGTAGGCACTCTCTGTAGGCAATAAGGGTGGAAAATACTCAGAAGCTAAATCTAGTATTTTATCAATGCCACCTCTGACTTATGGAGAGAGGTTTGAAGATGTTTATGAAGTAATTTTGATATTGGATGATCGAGAGCAATTTGTTAGTCAAGGGTGAGCATTCCATCTTTTGTAATACTCAGTTTTAAATTGAATGTTAAAGGCAATTTTTGCATTTTGATTTGCAGTATGTTCTCTTGCTATAAAAACTTTACTATTAGAAATGTCACAATTCACATAGGATTAGTTGTTCCCAAACATGTAGATTTAACAAGGGGTAACAGGGTAGTCCTTGGCTCCTTGCATAGAGGTACTTATGGAGTTCCTAAACCCCTTACTGAATCTTTCTCTCTCTGCACCTCCTTGGTGCCTTCTTTTTGTGAACAAGTTGTTTTCTTATCATATGAAGTATGAACAAAAGGTATAAGAGGAAATACCAAATTTGCCAAGGGCTCCATTTGATTATAGATGTTTGCAACCATATTGTCTTCTAATTAACTGTTTCTTTCTTAGAGAGTTAGAGTGAAACCTTTCTGTATTATTTAGTGGTCTAATGTGACAAATATAGCTTATCATTTTCCTAGATGATGTTTCTCAAATCTATAAAATTTTACAATCACATTATTAATTTCAGGTCGCGTTCTAGGAAAATTGTTGAGAACATCAGTATGCAATTTAAAATTCGAATAGAGGTGAGTGGTAATGTCATAGCTCTCTTGTATGTTTTCATCACTTTGCAATATGCTTTATATTTTTAAGTATCCTCTATTTTCGACCATATTTTTAATATCAGCCAGTTTAGGGTGTCAGTACATGGTGACTAGCCATTGGGAACATATGTGCATCTGCAATGAATGAAGCATGCACCCTTGTTTTACTGTTGAGTTATCAGCGACACCATTTGGATTAACAAAATGCATTGATAACCGAATGAAACTTATATGGCATATGGGCTTAAAATTTATCAGAGGGAATAAGATGAAAAGGTGTAAGAAACTAAAGGAAACTAACTTTTACCTGGCTCCCTACAGTCCAAATTAACTCATCATTTATAGTAGTAGGAAGGAAAGAGTTAAGTAGTGGATGGTTTGATACTGTGATCTATGAGGTGGTTGGCCTCTAATGTAAACTTTATTCAATATAAAGGTTAGTATAGTTGTTAGGCTTGATAAGACACTGAGTGGACCAAATTTAGATCTGCCAATTCTTAGAAGTGTATATATATTAGAACTGTCACATTTGAATATCTTTTGTTATAATCTAAGATTAGGCCAAAGTCACTCAATTGGACTATAATGCACATGGGCCAAACCACACTAAAAGGCTGAATCTAATCAATTAGCTAGTCTAACTCATAACTTTATAAACCCATATGTTTTCTCTTATATTTTTAATGTGGGACTCTTAACTCACCCCTCAAGTGGGCAATTAGACCATTTCGAATCTAACCGATTGACCACTTAAAATTGGATTGGACCCCTCCCCTGAAACAAAAGCTCTGGACGCCACCAAAGTGGACCTAACAAGCAGGCTTGGGAATTGGACTCTCGCCCTCAAACGAAAGCTTGGACGCCACCAATACCACGGGTAGACAACCGGGTGAATACAAAGTGGATTGAACAAGCTTTGATACCATGTTATAATCTAAAATTGGGCCAAGGTCACTCAACTGGGCTATAATGCACATGGGCCAAACAATTAGCTAGTCTAACCAATGGCCTTATAAATCATATGTTCTCTTTTATATTTTCAATGTGGGACTCTTAAGATCTTTTAAAACAAATATGTTTAACTCCCTACTGTCAATAGGTTAGACGGTTACCTGTTGGGGATGCAATCTGGATAGCTCGGCATAAAAATACTGGCAGTGAATATGTTCTTGATTTCATTGTGGAGAGGAAGAAAGTTGACGATTTGCGCAGCTCAATCAGAGATAACCGATATAAAGATCAGAAGTTGCGGCTTTTGGTATTTGCTTCCCTCTATTCCTTTTTCCTTCCTAAATTATTTCTGCAAAATTCAGCCTGATAATCTGAAGATTTTATTTGCTTTCATGCAACAAATGCATTTGCATCCTAGTTTGAATTTGAATACTGTTTTGTTTTTTCTTCTTCTCTAGTGAAAATCACAATGAGTGGCAATTCTTAAATTTGCCTATTTCCTGCTGTGAAGGGCTTCTTCTCTTAGAACTTCTAGATTTTCTTTAGTGCATTGGAAGCTGAAAGAATTAACTTTTATATGTCAATGGCTGCACTTGGCAGCACCTCGTTGGTACTGTTTTAAGACAATTTACATTAACTCATTAAGTATAAAATCTTACTGCCATATTTTTTGGTATTGTATTTCTCCATGCAAGAGATGTGGGCTCAAAAAGATGATATATGTAGTAGAAGGAGATGCAAATGTATCAGAAGCTGCTGAAAGCATTAAAACAGCGTAAGTTTTCCTTTTTCATTTTTCATTATAATGATTACTAGCTATTAAAATGCACTGAGGTTGAGTTCGAAACAGTTCTAAAATTAACCACCAGCCAGTTAGGCGGAAGCAAAATATGTGAGAAACCAAAGAGAAAGGAGAATAGAAAGAATATATTATAATGAAATATTACAATTGGTTGTCTCTGTGTGTTCTATACCTCTATATATACTAAATCAATCCTAATAGGAATAGGAAACTAAGCGCACTCTTACTAGAAGTTTCCTAATATTCAACAATTTAAAATTTGTGTCCAATTTGACACCATAGTATTGGCTTTGCTAAGCTATAAACCCATACTTCTTACGAGTGAATATTTTATAACATCTGTATTTAATAGACTAAGTTGTTAGTTTCTTCTTTTTTCCATTTCAGTATTTTTTCTAATGAAATAAAAAATATACACTAGGTAGATGCCTTCAAAACAACATGAAACACCTTTCCTTACACAATTTCAGATTGACCAGTTATCATTTGAAATTGCAGATTAATAGATTTTTGAGAACTTTACTTAAATCCGTTTGATTATTGCCTATTGGCAGTTGTTTTACGACTGAGATCTTGGAGGGATTTGATGTGCAAAGAACAGCTGGTTTGGGAGATACATTAAGGAAGTATGGCTATCTTACTCAGGCAATTGATCATTACTATAAATCCATGGAGGACAAGCATAAAAGTCCTGAAATGTGCCCCCCTTTTAAAGCATTTATTAGGAGGTGTGAGGATTTGGACAAAATGACCGTCAGTGATGTATTTGCCATCCAACTCATGCAGGTATATATTAAGTTGAACAAGTTAGATAACATTTGAACTCTGTGTAGAGGTAATTTTAGAAAACCTTTTTGTTTGTAATCTCTATGATTTTCAGACTGGTAATTTTTATATATATTCTCCCTACTTATAGGAGAATATAAGGAGTATGATATATTGATATTACACCCTCCCATATCTTTTTATCCACGTTGAGATGTTTTGTATTGCTCTATTGTGATGTATATGGAGTACAAGCTTTTCTCTTTTTGGTTGAAATTGTGTGGTTTGCCTTTTTAACTGATTAGTTTGTGCAGGTTGCACAGGTAACAGAAGAGGTTGCTTGGACTGTTTTGGATATGTATCCAACTTTGTTTTCTCTCGCACGGGCATACTCTCTTCTGGTCAGCTCTCTAATCTCTATTTGTGGTGTTCTTTATGTACCTTGTTCCTTTTTATGTGTCTAACCAGTTTATTGTACCATGTTTTAGTTATCCCATTTGGCTAATATACAGAATGAAATTTACAAATATTATTGAACATATCATCTTTGAGGAGGCTCATTAATATATTATAAGTCATGATTAACTATAAGGTAAATTGTAGTTTTCAAAAGTTAGCAGCTTATGCAATTGCATTTTTGTGGATAATTGATTTTAGGAAAAATTAGGAGGCAACTACTAAAGTTGCACCTTCAAGAAAAATGGTGAATTGAGAATTCTTATGTCACAAAATTTGAATACTGTTGCTTAAATATCACTTCAAAATACATTTCATGCTGAAAGATGTGAAAGAAACAGTAATGTATTTGGGATCCTAGTATTATCTAAATGGATTCTTTTTAATAGCATTTAAAATCTCTTACTCATCTTAATAGTTTTTTCCCCCCACTTGGCTCTGGTAAGGATGGTGATGTACGTGCACAGGAGGAATTGCTTAAGAAGCAGAGCAGTAACTTAATCAGTGCCACCGTTAGCAAAAATATTTTCCAACTGATTTGGGGGAGTTAATCACTGCATGCATTGCCTTTTGGTCACTGCTCAGAGTTGATGGTAGGAATGCTTAAGGGAGGATTTGTTTTTCCAATCCCGGCAACACATGGTGTAAATATGTGATAGGTTTTATCTGGTTAGCTTCTTTGTATGAAAGCACATTTAGCTCATTAGAAACAATATTTTCTTTTGGGAGTATACATTTTTTGTATGAATGTTTCTACTCTTTTTCATATTGTTACAGTATATTCAGCTGAGGTATCCTATCTAACTCTACTTTCTTGTGGCTTTGGTGATCTGAAAGCTGTCTCTTACATTTCCTGAGTTTGCATTCATGTACTGCAAAATTCAAGGGGCAAAGAGTTAAAAATATCAATGGCATGTTATTCAGATGCATAATATGCTATATGCCTGATGTGATTCTATCATCCGGTAAACCGCTGACCTCAACTTTCAATTCTTTCTTTGTCGCATGCAGTCTTGCATATCCATATTCAGATATTCTTATCAAACTCCAGCTATCAGCCTGAGCATAGAAATTTCAATGTTAGTTCGAAGAGAGGAGAGAAAGTGGTAGCCAGGGAGTGTGCTTACAGTGACAGGGGAGGGGTCCAAATGAAAGCCACCCATTCCGATAACAGCATGAACCGGTGCCTTATAATCCGTGTTATTGTAAGTGTCGATTCCTCTCCTATCTTTTACAGGCATTGCTTTGCATTGCTTGGCGTAAACAGCACACGTCCTCTCATAGTTATGAACATGCCCCCACAAAGCAAGATCAACCTATATTTCATGCTTTCCTATTCAGTCATCCTATATTATCCGATGTCATTGTCTTGTCTAGGTTTAGAATATGTGCTTACCTTGTTGTCTAACAATAGTGGCTCCACCTCAATTACAAAATTCTTGTCTACATTATTAATAAACAGCCCTGTATAAGAGGAATACATGGGACGATGCCTGCATTGATGAAAGCCATGAAAGGAGTGTCATACCACAAGTCTTTGTTACAAGTAGGGAGGTTGACATTAAAGAGCCTTAATTACCCTGTAAAAATTAACCAAGGTGTTCTTGCTCGATCTACTGCAGACATGTCCCTCTTCATCCATTCATACTGCATAAAAAACATTGAGGTAATTCTTTTAGTATTTGATAGTCACATTAAACTCTGAGTCTCTGACTAATTCAAAGTTGAGTTGTTGTATGGACACCATTTAGGAGTTCCATTCACAAGGCTCGAACTCTAAACCTTGCTTAAAGGGAATCAAGTTTCTTTTACTCAGATCATAGGTCATTGGCATCATATAGTATGTAAGATGAACAAAGTGATGAAGTTTATACATTTTGATTATATAGTACCTGTTCTGAGTTTTTGTACCAACTATGCTCCGTTGAAATGACAGTGAAGTGAACACTGCCTTGCTCTATAGAATACCAGGGCTTATCCTTAGCCGGTGTTGGCATGGGAAAATATGTCTCATAAGGTATTCCACATTCTCCGCCTGAATCTGGCAGTTTGTAAACCGAACCTGTTCCTACATAATCCCTGAATCGAGGCAGAGTGGTTATGCGGTGTTATATTGGGGAACAAATGGTGCCTTTCCTTGCCAGTTGCCATAGTGATGCACGCAAAAGAGAAGAATATATACCTCTCGTGGTTCCCAATTGCAGTCATGTAAGAAATACGAGAAGCAATTGGAGTTATGAGGTGCAGGAAGTAGTCCCATTCTACTAAGAACCCTGTGGCGTAGCTTATGTCACCAATGTGGAATATGGAGTCCACTTTCCCTAAAGATACTTCTTGCACCAAAGCTTTCACCACTGACAAAGCTCCTGGCTAAATTAAGTAAAACCTTTGATGAATAGAATCCTAGTCAGATCAATTCATGAACATTAAGGTTTGCAGAGGTAGTTACAGATAGACAGTACTTGGGTGTAATGTTCTGCAGATCGATCGCGAGGAGTCTTGCCCATATCGCCAAATGCTAGAAATCTCACTTCATCTGATCCCCCAGCAGGTGGTGTTTTGAAGGTAATTTTGTTGCTCCAACCACTTGAGTCACTGCAATTTAATAGTTTACTGGTATAAATCTTATGCTATGAGCCCAGAAAATGCTTTTATCTTTTGTGCTTTTCTTAATTTACCTTCCATATGTATATGTGTATGTGGTAGAAGGCTCAAGTCCTGTCATGATAGCAGAATGAACATAGCCTGGATCATGCCATCCAAAGTCTTTGGCTGGACTTTTTAGAACAGCACCTTTTTACAAGATATGATCAGTTAGAACTTACTCCAACATCATTACATTGGCAATAGAAACATAGGAATTGATGGCTTGATTTATTGAGGTAATGAACTTACTGCACATTTGATCTTGGGTAAAGGTGGTTACTACTGATTTCTGAGATTTTCCATTGGCATACTGAAGTTGTTGAGGGGTTTTATCCCCACTAACCCACGTTACTCTCATCTGCATTCATGAGATACAGAGATATATATCGTTTTCTAGGTCAATCTCGTATTGTCATATAATCATACATAGTCTTACTGAGGTTGCAGTGGAATCAATGCTGGACAGATGGGCATACAAAGGGCTATGGGGGTTGGAGAAGCTCAAAGCACCTGATCTTGCCAGGAGGCAAGGGGCCTCAAATCCACCAGAAAACATTACAAACTCAATGTCTGTTCTGAAATTGATTACATGAAATGTTAGTGTGGCGCTGCAAGTCTGCACCACGCACTTCCCATTAACGAGCATTTGGCATTCCTTCTTCCCGCAGCTTAGGTATGCAGGATCACTACTCACATATTGTGCCTGCACCATCCATATTCATCATCTCACTACTATTACTCCTACAAATCAATCTCATTGGTAAGCAGAATGCTACTTTTTATTAACCAATTTGTTCTGTATGATGTTCTAAATGATGTGTCTTGTGATCAATGTTATAATTTTTCTTATTCATTATCCGAGAATTATTGAAACCCATTATATAAGTTCAGACCCCATATGTAAAATATAAAGTAAATTTAATGCCCTCTTAAAATAGTTACCAAAATTGTTTCTCATCCAAGGAGTTTAGTCATCCAAGTACTTGTTAGGTACAAGTAGGAGTTGTTATACCATGGACTAGGGTCCACCTTGCAAGGTGGAACTTGGTTCTAAACTATTATAAATTGTGTATTTTTAGTATTGGAATTGTGAACTTTTAAAATATAAATTGTGTTTTTAAGTCAAAATACATAAAAACTGTAGAAGGGAATTTCTGAATCTTAATCTGTTAATATTGTGTGACTGCAGTATTTGAAAGGAACTTGTGAATACAAAACAAGGTAATCAATTACATATATGTTATAGAGTAATATTATGTGTCCGTAGTATATAAATTGTGAGTTTTTAAAAGGTAAATTGTGAACATTTGGATTCGGGTCCACATAATAATTTGCGTACAGCTAAGTTAGTCTTTGATTAGTTAGGGTAGACATATTTCTTGTTTCGTTTCGTTTTTGACAACTTAGTTTAAAGGAATCACAGACAAGAAGCACTTAGAATTGAAGTTTCTATGTAACTAACTTGAGTCATGAGCGTCATTGTCTGATCATGATCTGTAACTAACTTTATGGCAAATAAAGCACGTCACGTTGGTGTGCTACAGCCTAGACTCCTAGAGGTTGAGTTAATGGGTTTAATTAAGGGGATGGGTTGGCACGATAAGCCTCCAACTTGGAACCTTTATGCCAATTTCACATGGAATTGCCGATAAAGTGGAAGAAGAAAAAGCTCATGCATATATGCCCAATTTTTGTAGGGTTTATGTCATTTTATTTTTGCATACTGTATTAATATTCATATCTATAAAATGAAACTAATTTAATTGAGTTTTAGTTAGACTCCATCCAAAAGTACTAAGGTCCATAGATGTTTTGTTAAGCAAAATAATTTCGGTTTGTTAATACTACATTAGTTCGGTTAACAATTAATTGTTTTGAATTGATGAAAATAAATTCAAAAGTCACCTAATTAGTAATGAATTAATGATAAGTATTTAATAATGGTGCTAAAGAAGTCAGAGTATTGATGGGCATTAAATGCATGGTATTCCCTGGGCAAGCCGATCTACCAAATTTAAAACCAAAAAAATCCCAACTTGCGGATCATGCAGCATAGTCCGTGGAAAATTTTTAAAACACAAAATCCTAACTAATCTGTCAAAACTCAAAAGCTATATATCTAAACGCCTAAAGCGAAGCATGAGGCCGGCAATTAACCGGAACAACAAAGACATGAGTTTGAAGAAACCAAAAAAACGTTAAAGAAACGCACACTTCTCGTATTGCTTACCTTAACAGGATAGTGGCAAAGCAGAGGAAGTTTGCTCAAATCTCCAGTCTGTACGTACTGTAGCACATTCAATGGACAATCCGAAACACTGCACACACACACATAAAGGTAAAGAAATGACAAAAGAAAGAGTTCGAAACCAAGTTTAAGTATCACTTCACAATTTACAGTACTAGAAAGGAAGAATGAAATGGCACCAATTCAAGTTGTGTGAGTTCAGTCTCAGTAGAGTTGGTATTGACTCTTTGTATTTCAGAAAGTAATTATGAACAGATACTACATTGTAACAAAGAAAAGGAAGAATGAAAATTATTTTGTTACCTGGAATGGGAAGGTGAGACGAGAGCAACCCAGTGGCTCTGAGAGGGATGCAAAACTCCATCGACATGAACCCTAACATATTGGTCGTCGGAAAGGGTAGCGTTGGAGTCGAACCTGAGTTTAAGGAAAGCGGTTGTCTCCAGGCACTGCTTCAGAGGTTTTCTGTTCACTACGCGAAACTCTGAGATTGCAGTGTGATTGCGAAACTCCGCCGGCGCCGACTTCACTACCACGTCCGCCAAGGAAATTGGCGAAGAAGAAGAAGAATGCACGGCGGCTGCGGCGACAAAGAAGAAAGAGAGCAGAAAGAACAATAATAGTCTTGAACAAATCTCCATCGACAGGTGCATGATGATTTGGAGGCCACGGCTGCAAAAATGAGAAATATATACTAGTTAAGGTTTCTATATATAGACAAATAGCGGCTCGATTCATATTATTTGTTGTAATATAATTACTATTATTTGTCGTTTTTAATGTAATCGAGTAGCTTTTTAACTGCGGTATATATGGAAGAAGGAAGAAGGAACAAAAAAAAAAAAAAAAAGAAGCTTGACAAATTTATTTTCTATGCAAAAGAATTAGAAAGAATGCCCACATAAATTTAGCTCATTTTAAACTAATTAACAACATTATTAAATGTAATTATGCTATTCGCACTCCTAAAAAGAATGCAATTTTTATGCCACCACAAAAGCCTACATTATAATATACACGAGAACCTATTTTCAAGATTTTTTTTTTAATTTGTTTATTTGGTTAGATGTAAAGGCTCTAAAGCAAGAGAAGAATATAAGCCATGTCAAAAGTAGTAGTTATTATCTTCAACTTTAAATTAAATTGTATAATACTTTGTAATATTATAGAGTGCACTTTAATTTCACATAATAGAGACACTTTGTGTTGTTGCTTAAACGCACTTTAAAGTTTGAATTATTTGTTTAAATGTCAACGCTTTTTTCTTAATTTTTGATTTAAAATCGTTAAATTTTTTCAGATGAACAATTAAGATTGATTTTTAATTTTTCTAAAAAATAAGTTTTCATTTTATACATACATACATGATACACATACAGTGGGCTCAAATAAGAATAATCCCGTTATATGAAAAGTGAGCATAGATCTAATCATCCATCAGGTTCATCCATGTTTGATAGTTTTAATAATAAAAAAAAACAATGTCAATTTTATAATTATTGTAAATTTTTATTTGCAATATTTATAAAATTAACCGCACTTATTTTATTTTTAATTTTTTTAGCAACACTCGACTGTTGATGATCTATCCAAATGGATGGATTATATCAGTTTTCACTTTTTTTTGTGAGAGTATGTTCTCACATGAACCCTCTTGTGTATATATACAAAAGTATGTTAAAAGTTTGTGAAGAATAAAAGTATGTTAAAATTGTATGGATGTATAGTAGAGAAAATAGTGATGAATTGCAATATAATGATATGATAGTAAAATTTATTTTACAAATTCGAAATATAAATATGTAGCATAACTATTTGATGCCATCCGCAGATGGAGATGTTGAAATCATACAACTTTTGACAGCTTTAATTTGTTGGTTGTTTTATAGGATGGGATGTGAAACCACTAGAAAGTGTAGTATAATTTTTTTTGGGTGTAAATTACGAGATAGTCTGGGTCTTTCTCTGTCCGTTTAACGGTCCAGATACACCTGATTAATTTCTGTTCGTTCCGGGAGGCTTTGGGAATTGGTCCATGGGGAATGGCCACTTGTGGGAGAAAGTGTAGTATATATAATAGAATGTGATGTCTAATGTCTTGGTTCCACACTCATTGTTGTACTTTTTGGTGTGAACACTAGATGGCAAATTAAAGCAGATCTTTGTGCAGCCACGGACATTATTTTGCCTTAGCGTTATTCAATCTTAAAACCTAAGCCATAGAATTTATTGGATCTTAGGATATTCATGATATGATGCGCATGTGCATGTGATTTGTAAAAAAGACCTGCTTCACATTATATTTAATTAAATTATTGTAATTAATTTATTATTATTGCATTTCGTAAACAGGTGAAAATATATTAGACTTAATTGATGTCAAGCACCTTGTGCTTAGATGGTATCCGAGTTAAACTACCATATAGGAGATTGTGAGTTCATGCCTCAGTAGTCAGCTAATCTATTTTGATCAGAACACAACATGTATTGAATTTTTTGAACTTGAATACAAAATATTTGTTCTGTCCAATTATTACCTTCTCGTTTATAATTTTCCAAAAATTATTTAGTATTAAATTAATACTATCAATTTTTAATTTATAATTAAAAATTGATTCGTGTATAATTGTCTATTCATATTCATATTTTTATTTTAAATTTTTATATTGTGACATCCTTAATAAAACCACCACCAACAATAATACAATCGTAATATAAATGAGATAATATTCCTTAGAAGGGAAAGAGAATAAAATTGTGGAATATTTCATAGGACATAACATTGTTTTCCACAACGTGCCTTGTTGGTTATGTTCTATAATCATATTCTACGGCGAATTACCCGTTCTTTATTATTATTATTATTAGTATTATTATTATTATTATTTATTGTTTTACCATCGAGAGGAAGTCATTAGAATGTAATGAATTCAACTAAAAAATTGTTAGTAAAAATTAAACTCATAATTTTTAATATGAGGTCAGAATTATGCTATACCTACTTCGATTCCTCCGAAATTCTTTTATTTTATTCACAAAAAATAATATTTGTAGAGCTATTGTGATGGTGGGTTCCTATGCACTGCGTGTTGGGTTTACAATTCTCCATATATCTATCATTCCCTAACCTTTTTTTGGGTATGAACTCGTCGAGTCATCGCTTGTAGTGATTGACTTAATATCTTCACATGATTGCCATTTGACTTTCTACTTTGCAACATTTATGCGATTTCACACGCAAATTTGTAGAATGAAAAGTAAGAATACGATTTAGGACTTATTCTTTTTATGACAAGAAAAATGTATAATTATTATTTAATGATATTGATAAATTATGTTCTTGTGTAATTGTATTCTCTATTCAGGGACGAAGCCAGGAATTCTGTTGAGGGGGCGAAGAAGCAGGGACAGATCTAAGAATTTTTTCTAGTGAAGGCGAAACATTAAAACAAAAAAAATAATTTGAAAAAAAAAAAATTACCTAAGAAATATAGGTATAAATATTGTTGGATATGAGCAAAAAATAAAACACATCGAAACTTTATAAAAATATTCATTACAAAATATGAAACATAATTAATTAATTTGATAAAATAATTTGAATAGAAAACACATTATAAATTACACATCTTATTATTAATATAAAAAAATGTAAATGTGTTGATGTCCAAATGAAATTTGAACCCCAACCCTTCATTATAACCAAGCACATGCTTTGCCAACTAATTTAACTCACTTCTCATTAACATTCATCTATTTTTTATACTAATACTAAAACATGTACTATATATACATATATACATACAAAGGTTATATATGGGGTGGGGATGGGGGCAGCTGCCCCCCTGCCCCCCTGCCCCCTTTACCTCCGTCCCTGATTGTATTAGGAAGTTCTTATATTAGAGACTTGATCAATATGTTCTATGTTGTTAAAAATTGAATTCGTAACCTTTAAGTATAAGTGTTATGCTTTACTCATTCGGCCATTACTTTCGAGGTTTGGATATACTCTTATTTAGTTCTTGACAATGTGTGATATTTGAGGTTAATACAAAATTTCTAAGAATGGGTACAGTTTCTAATTAATTTTAGCCACATCAAGTATTTTGTGGTTTGATGACATCGTTGTGGCGATGCGCGATCCTTCCAAATATATAGAAGGCCACAGACTCGAGTCTCATCCCAATTAACGTTGTTGACATAGCAGAAACTACGAATATGTTAGATTGTAGTAAAAAAAAAAAAAATTATAGCCACATTTTCTAATATCATATCATTAACGAAATAAATAGAGCAAGTCCATTAGTTTTTTTTTTTTTTTTTTGGTGGATTTTTTCTATGATATGAATGGGGAAGTGATGCTATGGAATGGAAGAGCCCGAGAGATGAGAAAGATGAAAATGAATTTGCAATAAATGTGATTTTTTGTGGGGCCCAAACGAAGAAGAAGAAAAAAAAATGAAAAGAAAAAGAGGAGAAAGTTTGCACATGCTGTGCACAAAGCGCTTGCTAGGCGTGTTAAACACAATCCTAGTTGTTGAGAAGGTTGTCCAAAAGCGGTATATAAGGCGTATCCAGTAAAACTTCCAAGTAAATCGGATAGAAAGATGGTAACTAGGGTTGCTGTTTTCATTTTCTTTTTATTTTAGAAATAGAATTTCAAGACTCCAAAAGTTCTATGCTACGATCGTTTATTTACAACGGAATGGTATACAAAGTCAACAGATCTCAATGAATACAATAGGATTTATGGCTACACAAACTGTTGAGAACAATTCTAGATCTGGTCCAAGACGAACTGCTGTAGGTAATTTATTAAAACCATTGAATTCGGAATATGGTAAAGTAGCTCCCGGGTGGGGAACGACTCCTTTGATGGGTGTGGCAATGGGACTATTCGCGGTATGTCTATCTATTATTTTGGAGATTTATAATTCCGCCGTTTTATTGGATGGAATTTCCATGAATTAAATCTATAAGAATCACAAAGTCCTTGCTTTTGAATCTAAAAGAGATCATTTTGAGCTCGGATTTCTAACTCATTCTATTTTTTTTGGCAGCTCGATCGCGCAATTTCTTTGTTTCTGTATTTCCGGAATATGAGTGTGTGACTTGTTTACTTTTTTGTTTTTTGTTTTTTGTTTTTTGTTTTTTTTTTTAGTAATACTGGCTCTGTTACAGTGTAGTATCTATTCATAACTACTTTATTATTTTTCTGACAACTTTTGTTTTCCCCCTCTCATTGTAGGTGACATGAAAAACTCATTCAAAAAAACTCTTCTAATGGCCTTGCTCTAAGGTATGGCAAATTATACTGTGAATCACGTTGCACAATGCATTGTGGTCCAGACATCAAAACAGTGTCGTTTTTTTTTTAATGAAAAGAAACGGCATCGTTCCGCGCCGTTTTGCAAAAAGTAACTATGTTTGTATAACATATTCAGTTCATTTTATATACACTTCAGTTTCATTTCAACACAACTACAGTTTCATTTCAACACAACTACAATTTCATTTCAACACAACTACAGTTTCATTTCGATAGAACTACAGTTTCATTCGACATTATACACTTAAATATGTGAAACTGTTATTCAGTTTCATTTTATATACACTATAGTTTCATTAGAACACAACTACATTATCATTTCGATATAACTACAGTTTCATTGGACAATATATACTC